AGCAAAAAGATTAATCTGACAGTGTTATAAAAGCATAAACACCAACTGAAGTGTGATACTGCACACTTGCATGTGATAAATTTGGGCCAAAATATGGAAAGTTTTTCATGCTAACATCAAAATTTATTTTCTAATATCTTCTACAACCCAATCAGAAACTTGTTGAGAACCACTTGTTTATTTGACTTGGATCCGGTCTCAGTCACAGGAAACAGAATGCATTTATAGTGTGTTTATGGTAAAACAATTAATTGACTCATCTGAGATTTACACTATTTAATAATTATCTAACATGCCATAAAAGTAAATGAGCTAATAAGATGATTCAAACAAGTGAATGTAAATACATTGTTTAAAAACTAATAAAATCTAATAAAATGAGCTTGAAGGAATAAAAAGAGTTATACCATTTTAACAGAGATCAAGTTATTTTTAATTTTCAAATAATGCTGTATTGAGACATTACAGACTTGTGAATGCATTCAATCTTTAAGACTTAAAATCATCTGAAGCACTCCCTCTCCTAAACAGAAACACTAAAAATATGTCCGAAAAACATCTACTATTTTTTTCCGAAACATAAAAACGTTTAAAAAGTAAATGAAAAGAATGATAATCAACCCATCACAGAGGATCAACTTTATCAAGTCCTCCAAAAACAACCTTTAACCTCTCCTGGCTACTGCTATGAGATTGAACCAAAAGCACAACGTAAAAGAACAACAAACCATTCTTTGGAGTAGGAAATATTTTACAAAAATCAGCTAAGGGATTAACTTTGTATTACTAGAGAACGACAAGAGAAATGCCACTTGTTAGCATAGTGCTAATAGCATGTAGAGTAGATAAGTACCTCAAACACCTTAAAACAAAAACCAGACAGCTCTGCATCTCTCGAAGACCGCTACACACGTGACCTAGTCTAGCTTTTTAAAGACTGACTGGTTTACAATGATGCTCTCGTTGGATATAAAAGCATTTAATGATAAACATTTCTTCAAATGTGGGGGATGGAGTGTAAAATATCATCTTTACATGTGCACCTAAACCATGGATTCTGTAAAACTCTTACAAGCCTTCAATCCAACAGATCAGTTTAATAGACCAGAATAAAACAAACTGATTACATTCAATAATGTCCACAGTAAAGCCAACAACGCATGTACCTTCAGAACAACCCCTGACACACTGGATCAGATATCAATACGAGCTTTTACACAAGATCAGGACTGTGGTCAGCTGCCGTAGAAAGACTACAACGTTCAATTGGTCGTCAGCGGCATTCACAAACATGACGGGAGTCGCATGTGTGGCTTGAGTCCAGTGATGATGTGTGTACAGTATGTTTGACCACACTGGCCCTCAATCGCTGTCGATTGGTCTTGTCTTTTCTCCCCCCGCTCTCTTTCCTCTGAGGGAATAATGAACAGCACACACGCGGATCAGAAATAGCTCTCCTATTCACACATGCAGAGTCACACACCCACATGCTCTCTTTTATAACACTTGCTGGGAAAAAGAGAGGAGAGAGACGAGTCTAACTGAACGCACAGCAGTATGTACGGGGAGAAGCTTTGTGCTCGAGTGATTATTCTTCAGCCAGAAAAATGCTATATAACAATGCATTCATTTATTCAGTTCTATTGATAAGGTTACGTTCATTAATTCTTTTTATAGATTCACAACTAGGTAAAAAAAGGTTAAGAAGAATTCAGGGATTTTGTATATATATTTGTTTTTTTCCTCCATTCATTTCCATCATCATGACAGGCAATGGTAATCTTAATATAAACTCTTTATCTAATTTATAAAGCATATTTCCTCTCCGTTTAAATTTGTTACTCGTCGTTATATCATAATTTTGCTATAAAAACATAACTTCTGTCAATCCAGTAGCGTGAACGCTGTTATACACATTTACTATTAAGCATAAAGGCAAAATCTCACTAAATTCCAAGAGTTCTTGGGAATGCTGGGGACTGTTATATCACACGCATGCGAGCAGCTCTTCACCATGACAACTCGAACCTTTTGTGAACCTCCGGCATGAAAACCAGAGGCTTTCCCTGTTTGGCAAAACGATATGCGAGCTACAAGCATCACCATCGCGCACTCCAGAACAAAGAGCTCGTCTTGTCATGTAACTGAAGGGCGTTTGGACTGTAATATGGTATTAAATAAACATCTGAGGAACGCGCTGCCTTCAAACCGGAGGAATCAACTCTTTATGGCATGGCTTTTGTGCTAAAACAGAGTGAGAGGAGCCTGTCTTGGTGCTCTTGCTATTCTCAATTTAAGTGCACTTTGTTGGCACAAGACCCCTAACTGCGCACTGGACTTTTCTCATCCCTGAACTTCAGTTCTTATTAAAACAATCACATGCTCAACGCTCTCCCACACACACATGCACACAATCAAGCAAATACACCCAACCCCAATCCAAGGCACTGTTATTTCAGTAAACATGGCAGTTTGATTTACTAAGCAAGAAAATGCTTGCATTCTACAGCAAGAGAGAGAAAGAAAGTAAGGATGAGGGGCACAAACGAAGTAACTCTCAGAAAGTGTGAATCTGTCATAATGGCACATTAGCATTTAATTTTGCTCACTTACAGATGATGCGAATTCAAACTATAAGCCCCCATCTCTCTCTGCAATGCAACAATTTATAATTATTCATGTGAAGTGTTGCGCCGCCATATTTTAATAATGACTTGCTAAATGTGTCATCGGTGTTTAGTGCTCGTCTAGACTGTGACAGCAGACAATATGTCCGGTGGGAGGGGCTATTAGGTAACAGATGATGATTGTACCATCACAAGCTACTGAACAAATCAGAGCTAATCATTTAGTGTTAACTAGGAAAATATTTAGGAGGGACAAAGTGCGTCAAATGTACTGTGATTAGTGTACACGTTTTTTCATAAAGGCAGCACTTTATAAGTGATATAATGGTACAAGACCATCTTCATCAAATAGGGAAAGAGAAAAGACTAGATTGTGAAGGTATTCTTTTTAGGTGAATACTGCTGTAAAAGTAGATTATCTGTATGGAAATGAGTGAAAAGCTTGAGAAAAATCTCTGGTCTAGTATTGCAGAGCTGGAGACAGTAACACCAGGCACAAACCCGTCAATAATCCTTAAACTATTGCTTTATACTGATCCTACTGTATGTTACTGATTAATATTTCCCACTGATACTCACACACACACACGCGCATGCACGCAGCTCGTTTGCACACTGTCAGATAAACAAAAGAATATTCTTGCTCCAATCCACCCAAGTCTTCATCTAAAACATGACGTTTGTGTTGCTAAAAAATGGTGGGGTCCAAATCTCAAAGAAAAAAAGTCTGATCAAATGCACACATCCCTGATGAACTACAAGCCTACCTAAAAAAAAACTACACCTTCCATAAGCAATCAAGCACTTTTGACAGCACAAACTCATGACTCAATTGTTTTACGCAGTGGTGTAGTGATTGAACTCAAAAATCATATGCTTACCGAATACAAATAAGATCTAAATACGATCATGGCTGCTATGTACAATTTACATTGTGACAACAGAACTATACGTTTGTGCTGCCAAAAAAACGTTTTCAGTCATATCCGGAGTAACTTACTGTATCTTCCTGTCTAAAATCAGAACAACCCAAAAGAAACTCTCTCGTAAAACTTCGAACAAGAACGAGCACACAGCACGTATTGCAATAGAACAGCTATAGAACAGCAGATAATAAAAGTAGGAGTAATACCAAATACGTTTACGTACAGAGAATATCAAACTGTAGTAGATATGATGATACTTCCCACATAGAATGAAAAAAAGTGCTTTGAAAAACCAAACCAGAGACTGTTGCTCCATTGTGGGTGACTAGTGGAAAAGCAAAATGCTGGATTCTGCTCCGTAAGCAGCCACCACCGTTTCCATCGAACAAACAGTTTGGTGACACAGGCGTCAGATTATTGTTTATACATCAAGAAAGCGAAAAACCTTCCCTTGCTCGGAAGGAAAGCCGTCTCAGAATATGTTAAAACTCATATTTTTAAATCAATTTCTAAACTTCTACTTGTCGAAAGAAAACATTATATCACTTTTATATGAAACTCTGAATGCAACCAAGAACAAACGACTACTACACTATACAGTTGAAATGGAAAATTACAGATGTTGCAGTACCACCTCACACCACTGCAGTTTCAAGGTGTTTCTGCTACTCAAAGTAGCTTATAAAGTCTCTCAAACACACGCACGCCACTGCTGCGTGACGTACAAGACACAAGACGCACGACAGTTGAACGATTCTCGTAGTTTACACGCATTTCTAGTAGAATAACGTACAATTAGTCTTTTTTGTCTGGTCCTAGAAAGGTCACAAATATGAGCAGTGAGGAACGTTGGCCCCAGTGAGCTGAAAGCTAACCCATGTGGAATCAGATGAACACAACATTGCTCTGTCAGAGGTCAGCAGTGTGCTCACGGCAGACACACACATGCCTTGTACAGCTGGCTCAGAGATCTCAGGAGAATGGTGAAGGAGTGTCTTCAGGAAGATGTAAGATAGTAGATGTAAGAAGTAAATAACTGTTCTATATGTAAGTATGTGCAGGAGTGTGTATGTGTGAGTGTGTGTATTTACAGAGTGTGAGAGTGTCTGTGGATGTTGTTGTGTGTGAGGACTATCTCTTCAGTGTTTGCAAGTGTGCACACAGCAGAATCTATGTTCATGTGGCAGCTCTTTCACCAGTTCATAATGCAGTTTCTGTTGAGGGTCATAAAGTAGACTTGACTGCTGCCACCAGAACGCACTGATGCAAAAAACACCTGAAAGAAAAAAAAGGTTAGTGTAAAGTGGATAAGCTTAATGAGAAGATCATTTTTGTGTAATTCTATTAAACTGATATTGTAGTAAATATAATTAAAAAAAATAATTTTACTTATTACCTTAATGACCAAAATGCAATATTTACCCTTGTCCGGAAGATGTAAGATAGTAGATGTAAGAAGTAAATAACTGTTCTATATGTAAGTATGTGCAGGAGTGTGTATGTGTGAGTGTGTGTATTTACAGAGTGTGAGAGTGTCTGTGGATGTTGTTGTGTGTGAGGACTATCTCTTCAGTGTTTGCAAGTGTGCACACAGCAGAATCTATGTTCATGTGGCAGCTCTTTCACCAGTTCATAATGCAGTTTCTGTTGAGGGTCATAAAGTAGACTTGACTGCTGCCACCAGAACGCACTGATGCAAAAAACACCTGAAAGAAAAAAAAGGTTAGTGTAAAGTGGATAAGCTTAATGAGAAGATCATTTTTGTGTAATTCTATTAAATTGATATTGTAGTAAATATAATAAAAAAAAAAAATTTTACTTATTACCTTAATGACCAAAATGCAATATTTACCTTTGTCCCAAATTTTGTATACAACCCTGTTTATTAAAAAAATTTAACATTCCTCAATTTTGACACGCTTTAGGTAACATAATTTGTTCTCTACGGGACAATCTCATTCCATTTTCTCAATCTTACTTTCCTGTAGCTCAAACAATAGAGGTAGCTACCAAAGGTCACAGGTTTGATTTCCAGGGAAAGAATGAATGACAAAATATAAATGTGTTTCTTAAATGCAACTTAAGTCGCTTTGGAGCCAAATGCATAAGCGTGGAGACAATGCAAAATAAATGCAAATAAAATAAAGTGCAAGTTGTTGCAATAAAATCTTAACATTTTAATGCTACTAAAATACTTAGAAATTTTATTTATTTTTATTGCAGTAACTGGCCCCTTATTTATTGTTGTGCAAAAATAATGTAAATATAATTTTTTTTTTAAATATACATTTTAAACTCTATTTAATTCCATATTGATAACACTTTAGTATAGGGACCAATTCCCACTATTAACTAGTTGATTATTAGCATGCCTCTTCTTAACACATTGGCTGTTTATTAGTACTTATAAAACACATATTCTGCATGACAATATTCTACAAACATATTGGCTGTTTATTAGTACTCATAAAGCACATAATCTACACGACCATAGACTACATACCTAAACTTACCAACTACCGCACTATTAGCAGTAAATTAGGAGTTGAGGCAAAAGTCGTAGTTAATGGTTTGTTAATAGCAAGAATTGGACCTTAAAATAAAGTGTGACCTCCATATTTTGGCAGCAGAATTGCAAAACTTGCAGACATCATAGAACTTGAACAGAATCTAAAAAACTTTTGTCTAAAACAACTGTAACTTTATTTTCTCCACCTGAGGTTTAGTTATGTATCCATTCTAGTATCTACTTTTCTTTTGGAAAAAAAAGGAAGCCCTATTTGTGTGAAGTGCCGCATGTGTCTGTGTGTGTGTGTGTCTGTGAAAACTGATCACCTTGTCATTTCTTTCACATAGGAACTTAAGCCTCTGAGCTCTCTTGTGCATGAAGACTCCATCCAGGTGTCCCGTCTCAACAGAACGGATCTCTATGGCTTTCTCTCCCCAGCCCATAATCTGATTAGAGCAGATGTGGGCTACACACAAAATACAAAGACATAAGAATATTTTTTCATTCACTTTATAAATACTATCTCTAATGCACATGCGCAACAAAAATATCTACTGGAACAACACAATCCTCTCCTGCTTAATTCAAGCTAATGTGCTTTATTCCAGAAAAGACTATCATTTTAACCAATTTTGCAATTCTGCAAAAAGAATATGAGAGCACAGTACACGTGTGTGTGTGTGTGTGTGTGTGCATACTTACCCACAGAAGTGGGCATTTCTCCCCACTGCAGCACCACATCTTTAATGATACGCCCATACGTGTTGACGTAAACACCCTCATCCTCATAACACAACAGCATCTCCATCCCATCTGAATTGGGCAGGAATACGATGGCGTGAGGAGTCACCTGTGACTGGATCTACAGACAGATAGATGCACAGAGAGGGAGTCAAAGAGAGGACAAGAGGTCCAAGGAGATTTATCTTTCTAAAGGGGCTATAAAACTTTTCTCTTCATTTTCCAATTGACCCACACATCACTGATCGCTCCCATGTGATCCAGTGTATTCTTGTGAAAAAATCTTCACATGACAGCTTAACTCACGTGTACAGGAATGTAGATGTCATAGTTGTTTCCAGAGTCAACATCAATGGCATGGAAGCCAGCACTTGACCCATAGATGACCTTTAACCTCTGACCCTCTTCCACCGTGAGGTCAACCAACAGAGGCCTATGTGGCAGGTCTCCAAATGACTGAGAAGAAATACAAATAAGCAAGAGTATGAAACTATAGCACATTACAAAGATTATGTGGAATGATAACGTGAACACCTATCCCAACAATTAGATAATGAGCTTGTCACATTTGCTGTATTATTATAAAGGAAGTGATGTAAAGAAGCATACTTGTCTCAAACTATTTGGTAATTGGCTACTTTCTATTACCTTTAACAGAGTAAATCATTATTTATTACTTACACTACCTTTCACAAGTTTGGTCCTTTTTTGTTGGTTTTGAAACTTCATATGCTCTTTTCTTATACAGTAAAAACAGTAATACTGTGAAATATTATTAGAATTTAAAAGAAGTGTTTTCTATTTGAATATATTTTGAAATGTGACTTATTCCTGTGATGGCTATAGCTTCTGTTGTCATTACTCCTGTCTTCAGTATCACATGATCCTTCATTCATTCTAAAATGCTGAATTAGTGCTCAAGAAACATTTCTTATTATCAATGTTTTAAAAAAACAGCTGTGCTGCTTTTTTGATGAATAGAAAGTTATTTATTTGAAATCAAAATCTTTTGTAACATTTTCAATGTTTTTACTATCGAGCTTAATTTAATGTGTCCTTTCTGAATAATTACCTTTAACAGAGTAAATCATTATTTATTACTTACACTACCTTTCACAAGTTTGGTCCTTTTTTGTTGGTTTTGAAACTTCATATGCTCTTTTCTTATACAGTAAAAACAGTAATACTGTGAAATATTATTAGAATTTAAAAGAAGTGTTTTCTATTTGAATATATTTTGAAATGTGACTTATTCCTGTGATGGCTATAGCTTCTGTTGTCATTACTCCTGTCTTCAGTATCACATGATCCTTCATTCATTCTAAAATGCTGAATTAGTGCTCAAGAAACATTTCTTATTATCAATGTTTTAAAAAAACAGCTGTGCTGCTTCATTTTTGTGAAAACTGTGATACATTTTTTCAGGATTTTTTGATGAATAGAAAGTTATTTATTTGAAATCAAAATCTTTTGTAACATTTTCAATGTTTTTACTGTCGAGCTTAATTTAATGTGTCCTTTCTGAATAAAAGTATTAATTTCTTAAAAAACACCCCAACTGACCCAAACTTCTGAACTTTTTTTAAATTTTGGAATATCCAGTAATCCTCATGTAAGCTGTGTACATAATAAATAAAACAATACAACTCATGTCTCTACCTTGAAGGCCATGAATTTGTGGTAAGGTTTGGGAGCCCAGGCGTAAACCTCCACCGCATTCTTCAGAGCGATAACCAGAAACTTAATCCTTTCATATTTCACTGGGAAAATAAACAAAAACATTCACAACAAAGGTGATACATGACATGAAGTACTTTGGAAGAGTTAGAGCCCAAAGTCAAAATAGTTTGCTTGAGGTCTTTTGAACTACTGTAGCTAAATGTTCCTAGCCAGTAGTAGTGTAAACTTTCACCACTTTCTTGTAGCCTTTAATTTGTGCATAATTAAGCACTTTATACATGCACACTTACCAACTTTGTAGTGCACACAACCCTCCATTTCTCCCACAGTGGTCCAGCCCTGTTTCTTCTCCACCTCTGGGTCATTATGGAGGATTTTATTCCTCAGCCAGGCAAGATAATACACACGCACCTTATTCTTCTTGCCTGAGAGAAAGATAATAAATATGAACGGCCTGCATGTATTTGTCCTGACAGTGATGAGAAGATGGATACTTGTAAATTGATGATTAGGCCTGTGTGTAACCTGATATAGTGATGAGGAGGTTCAGTCCCTCCAGAACGTCCATCTGTTGAAACCTGCGTGAGTTGATCAATGGATAAACTTTCCCCTGGCCGCTTCGATCCAGCAGCTTCAGACCGTTCTCTGTCCCTACCAGCAGATTCACACCTGACAGAACAAACACCGCTATTACACACACACACACATATACAAAGACCCTCACAATATAAACACAGTGTTAGGGGAGCTATTCTGAAAATAAAGTTTGTCAAGCTTCAGGCTCCTCTGTAGGAGTAGCAGAAAAAATAAAAAAAATATTGAATTTAACAGGCCCTCAAATGTTTGGAGCTAAGAAACGGGACCTTACGCCACGATATTCCAACACTACAATGATTTTGGTCATATTTTATGCACTTTGGCCAGAGGGTGGCACTGCCACCAAACTAGTCTTGAATGTTCAGGGAATTAAGGCAATGATGATAGAAAGTTCATGTCAGTACATCTAAGTGTAGCACAGATACAGCCACTCTTCCTGTCTCAATTCATATCGTGCCAAATACTTTAAATAACCTGACTGCCAAGTGACAGGCCGATGACAGCAGGACAAGTTTGGAAAAGAGGAAACTCAAAAAGGCAGAAAATTGAGGTCAGAAATCACTTGTTGCACTGGCATGGCCCAATGAATCAGTGGAAAGGTTTTGTTTCTAGGACACTTGCTTCAAAAGTTATTAGCTAAAATGTGCTAATAAAATTTGAACATTTGGTAGTACTGGAGAGTTGAAATTAACACCGGGGACACTGAGACCAGTTCTTATCATTGGGCCAAATTTCACACATTTCATACAAAAATTACACTAAAATGACCCAAAATGGCCCAATGCTATTGAAATCAGGGAAATTTTAGAAGAGTGCTCTCGATTCGCTAACCTAACCATGTCTCTGCTTTGTGCGCTAACTTAAGTTGTTAGCAGCTCGCACAACATCAGGTCTACATGTGCTCAAACTGTGGTACTGAACTCATCTACCACATAATCTAACGTGTTTTGTCACACTACACCACTGATTGTTAGAAAAGTCAGCTGGGATTCCGTCATGAAATATGTAGTTAGTATCAGTAACATGGGCAAGCTCACACACACACACACACACACCTACACAAAGCGCTCTTGTTCATCTCTTACCCCAGAGAGCAGCACAGAGGATCTCAGAGTTGAATCTCTTCTTGTATTTGCGGATTTCAGGAGAGTCACTAACTGGACGAGTGTTGGTGGGATTGACATTGACCATGGAGCCTTTCCTCACCTCCAGCTTCAGTTGCTCAAAGCGAGAGCCCACACCTACAACACCCACAAACAACATAAGCTAAGAACCGAGAGAAACAGCATTGAGTGACTGAGTCATCTGTCAACAGTACCTTAAAGGGGACATCAGATGCAAAATTCACTTTTACACGGTGTTTGAACATAAATTTGTGCTGGCAGTGTGTGTACACAACCAACATATAATGATAAAAGAAAAACACCCAGTGCTTTTTTTTTTTTAATCCCCTCAAAGCATAAGCACTGTCTCAGATTTTAGCACAGACCCGCCCTGAGTGAGCCGTCATTAGTCCACCATTGTTTCGATGCCGGAGCAGGGGTAAACAAGAATGTCTCCTAAGTGATTGAGGTGTTGTTGGATGTAACAATGAACATAGCAGTCGTCATTTACTCCTGACATCTGAGCCGCTGAAGACGCATTGGATTACGTTTGTTTTTGAAGGGAATGCGCACCCTGATCTACCTAAATGTGTTTATGTTCACGCGAATCATTCATGATCCAGCTTCACCTACAGAAGAAGCGAGTATAAGATTTTATTTTATGTATCTTTGCAAATCGCCTTTCCTATTAATGTGCTAGTTCCATGGCTAAATGCAGCTAAAGTTTACAGTCTCCGAGAACTGCTCATCACCCCCATGGAAGAGAGGGGCGGGGTGAGCAGAGCTCATTAGCATTTAAAGGGACATGCACCAAAACAGGTCGCTGTGAACAGAGCTGTTTTTGACCAGGTAAAAAGGATGTCGTTTTACACTACCATTGAGAAATTTTAACCAAAGTATGTTATAGACTTTTCATGAAGACCCTAAAGAATCATATCAACTTGTGGAAAATGGGCATCTGATGTCCCCTTTAACAACAATGAAGCAACGATCGCAGACCTACACTGCAAAAACATTTTCTCAATCATTTTTTTTAAACAATTTCTTAATTTTTTGTCTTGTTTTCCTTTAAAAAAATATATGGATCCTTAAAACGAGAAGTCTTATCTTACAAAATTTTGTTTCTCAAGTATATTTATTACGTGTATTTTTTAATTAGAAAACAAGACCAAAATACTGATCATTATTCTCATGTTTTTCCAATGTATTAAATCTGTGAACAAACACTACCATTTCAAAGTTTGGGGTCAGTAAGACTGACAAAAAAATAAATAAAAAAAGAACAAATTAAAAAAATATATCAAATATTACAAATCACAACACTTTTTATCATTGACATTCATAAGAAATGTTACTTGAGCAGCAAATCTGCATATCAGGATGACTTCTGAAGGATCATGTGACACTGAAGACTGAAGTAATGGCTGCTGAACATTCAGCTTTGCCATCACAGAAATAAATTGCATTTTAAAATATAATAAAATAGAAAGCATTGTAATATTTCACAATGCTACTGTTTTTAATATATTGTTGATTAAATACATGTAGCTTGGGTGAGAATAAGACACTTCTTTCAAAGTCTTACCTACCCCAAACCACTGAACGGATGTGTATCGTAAACAAAGACCCAGTAACTGTCAGACAATTTAATACCATACCTCCAACAGACATGTTATCGCCTGTGCCCCCTGATGGTTGGTACATACCAAGGTCCACAAAGGTAGTAAAAGAGGACTTTCCAGAGGCCTTCACCAATCCCCTGGACTGATACTGAAATTGATTGCATCATCGGAGTTAACCAATGAACTACACACATTGGGCAATATATTTGTTAATGACTCAAAGAAAGAAAATATGATGTAATTATATAGATGGAGAGAATGAAGCTTTAAAAGTTAGGTGGGCAGAGAGCTCACATCATAGGCAGAGTCTTTCCCAGGGGAAGAGTGGGAGGCAGAGTCTGTGGGAGAGTGGGAGGGCTGAACCACATCAGGCAGGTTGGTGTATCCATTATGACTACGCTTCTCTGGAGTCTGCCAGAAACAAACACATATTTGTACTGGAAAAAAGCAGTGAATTCATTATCAATACTGCTAATACAGTGCTTATTCCCCCTTTTTTCATGTTTTTACATTTTTCGTTTGATAAAATAACATTAACATGGTTATAGAGCATGATCAATAACTTATATATTATTATTATTTTCAAACTGATTAATTTTGATCAAATACTTGAAATTGTTTTAGTAAACACTGCTATTTCCCATTATTTATTATCTTTAAATTAAATCTCATGATTACATGCCAGCCACTCTGCTCTCTAAGATATCAGCAACAGGGATTTCTATATATATATACACATTTTGAGTACATCCAGCTGTCCTCCTAATTGAAATAGTTAAGCATACCAAACTAGAAAATATGTATATGGATAGAACCACATACATATTTTCTATCCATATACATATTCTCTAGTTTGGTATGCTTAACTATTTCAATTAGGAGGACAGCTGGATGTTCTCAAAATGTAGGGTAAAGATCTGAAACCTGAATACGCATTACATTATAAAGATATTTAGTCGTCATAATGTAGAAAAAAAAAAACAGTATACACATACAAAAACACACACAAACATCCTACCCTCTGTACAAGCATGGTTTGGTCTCCATATCCTCCGGCACGTTCTTCATCTCCTCCTTCACCTTCCTCCTCCTCATGGACCACCATAGTGTTAACGGAGTCAGAATCTGCATCACGTGGGCTGATAAAGACATCGAAAGAAAAATGTGAAAAATTAAACCAAAAAATTACGGTGAAATATTCACACATCATTGTCTCATACCGGTCAGTAGGACTTTCCTCTTCTGCTCCCTCTCCACTCTCACTCTCTTCACTGCTCTCACTGCTTTCTGAGGAAGAGGAGTAATCATTAGCCTTCACCGGGGGTCGCGGCTGCTCCTCTGCCCGCTCCTTAGAATACAGACCGTGGTCCTGACACATTCACACGAGGAAGAAATCAACAGGCAATTGAGAAACACATCATCACGTGCCACATATCTGTAGTCATCATTACGTTCACATTGGATCTCTCCAGATTGAATCAGACCATAAGATTTTAATCATGCATTCTGTCTTTTAAAAGCTATCTAAGAGTTTGGAGGGTGTTGTGTGGGTGTGGGCATGGGATCTTGGTTGGGGAGGGTATATGTGGTCACACAAAGACCATGAGCGTGGGACTGTCCTTCTACAGATGCTGGTGGTTGTGGACTGGTGTGCAGGTGAAATCAACAGGAAAACAGACTTCTGAGGAGAGACGAGAGATGCTAAAGAATGGTCCAAGATGTACATAATGCATCCTGTGTGAATGTCTCTTCAAGGAACAGTTCACCCAAAAATGAATGCTTGCTTTCTTTGGTGAAGACAAAAAATGATATTTTAGAGGATGTTTCAACTGTTCTTTGTCCATAGAATCAAAGTCAATGGGGTCATTATTGCATTATTCAGAAAATATACATTACCGTTCAAAAGTTTGGTCTCTTATGCTCACTTTATGCTAAGCTTAATTTATTTGCAAAAATACAGTAAAAACAGTGATATTGTGAAAGATTATCCCAAATTAACATAACTTTAATTTGAATATTAAAATATTTAAAAGGTAATTTATGTGAAGGCAAAGCTGTCCCAGTCTGTAGTGTCACATGATCCTTCAGAAATAATTCAAATATACTGAGTTACTGCTCAAAAAAAATTATAATGATAAATTTACTGCAGAAATTCAAAACAGTCTGTAACATTATACAAGGCTTTACTGTCACTTTTGATCAATTTAATGCATCTTTGCTTAATAAAAGAATAAAAAATAAAAAAAAGACATGCTGAACCCAAAATTCGGAACGGTAGTATGCAGTATATGTGATTAATTGTGATTCACTTGATTAATTCGTCAGCATATCACGCACGTACTGTAATTAATTCGATTGACAGCTTTTATATTTTTATATCTTAAATATCATGTGATTTATACAGGGATTACCCAGAATTAAATTTTTATGATTCATTACTTTCAACATGTAATGGGAAAACACAATGCTGATTTGACATTTAGCCTCATCCACATGAACATCATCACGAGACGATGTAATCATGCAAGAACACAGACCGACATCATGCTGATACACAGATACGAGCACTGACCTCTCCTATTGCTCTCTTATAGCTCTGAGGGCAGGAAGAGGGAGGAAAAGAGATAGATGAGAGGAGAGAGGGGTGAGAAGGATAAAGGGAGAGGAGGAAAATGTAAGGAACAGAGGTTAGTGTTTAGAGGAGGGCTGAGTGTGTTCATTCTATACCAGACACGGGCGAATGATTTTGGACTCTATGTGCATGAGTGTGTGTATTTACATGCTACTCTTATGTTTATGTGAATGTGTGTGTCTGCATCTCACCGCTGGTCTGCTGGGTCTGGATGAGGTTCGGGATTCTCCTGGTTTGTGTCGGCCGTCATGAGAAAGGGTGGGGGAGGAATCCATCTTCGATGAGCCTGAAATAAACCCGCAACAACATTACATACATTTCATTTTTAAGAGTGTAGGGTTTGTCTGCAGCAATTAGAAAGATTCCAAAAAGGGGTTCTCACCACAGAACAACCATTTTGGGTTCTCCAAAGAACCTTTCATCAATACTTCTTAAAAGACTCATTATTTTCTTAGTCCGAAAAACATTTCAATAATTTAAAGAACCCTTTTCCACTAAAAATGACCTTTTGTGTAATGGAAAGGTTCCATGGATGTTAAAGGTTCTTCATAGAACCATAGATGCAAATAAAGAACCTTTATTTTTAACAGTATATCCAAAAAATTAACTTTTCCTAATTATTATTTATGAATCATTGTTTTAAATTGTGTATGTCCCCAGGTGTCCCCAAAGAGGGGTTTAGCTATCTTTCTCTATGAGTTAATGATATTTTCGATCTGCTAACACAAGTTTTTTTCTGTATTTTCTGTATAGTCCCACCAGGATTTCACGTACAATTACCTGTAAATATTTTTGAACATAATCACTGAAATCGTGGTCCTTGTACTCCATGCACAAGGCACTGGAGGACAGGTGAACATTGTGTTTTGGCTCTGAATTATGTTTTTTTTTGATTAGCTAATATTGTTTTTCCCACTCTCAAGTTAACATTTTCAACAAAAACGCATGCTGATGCAAATAAATAAAAAGAGTTTGCTTGATTTCACATTAAATTCCATGATTGAAAAATCACAAAATCATGGAGGGTCTGACTAAGAAATTATTTAGTATGGTAATTAAGCTGTTGTCCCCGCAACATAGGTCATTTCAGGTTGTACTACCCTTGCGGGGCGATGTGGCGCCACAGTGTTTGCAAAACCTGATCTACACAATACTCACTGAGTATGCGGTGTCGTTCTAGAGAGCCGGTCTGTGGCAGGTTGGACATGATGCTCATGCTATCTCCTCTCTCCCAGCGCTCATTGCGACTCAGATCAGGATTACTGACACAGAGAGAACACACATTACAGGAGTCAGTGCAGTCAAATGATTTGTGTAACAGCTGGATGTGTGTGTGTATGTATGTTACCTTGCTCGAACTGGGTGTCTGATGCCGGAGGAGAGCTTTGTGTTCAGTGCAGTGGCTATGGAGGCTGTTCTCTGGGGAATCTAAAAGAGAGACAAGGGGTGAGGAATTATTGGAAAACTGTACATTAATGTGTGATATATGCAACCACTGATTACACTGGTCTATTTTGACATGCTGTTTTAGTGCCCAATCCTGATGAGTTCTACAAAACCTGTATGATTATTTTGTCTTACTTTAGGAGGTTGTTCAATCTCAGGAAGACGGATCCAGGGTCCCCGGTCATCTCTCATTGGCCGAGTCTGAGGGGCAGGGGTCTCTGAGGTGGGGTCAGAGTTTTGACGGACTAGTTCTCTGGAGTGTAGAGGACGAGGTGTGGGTGTGGGAGAGGGATCCTGGGTGGGGAAGGCGGACATGGTCTTAGTGGGCTGATCGCAAAGAGACTGAGAGCGAGGGACAGGAGCGGCGTACGGTTTTAACGGCACCAGGTGGGCCATCTGGAACTATGGCAGATGAACGAACAGGAGTGGAGACGAGACAGAAAGTAGTATGTCAACATAAGAAAAAAGTGGGAGAGTGAAATGTTTTTTGTTTTTGTTTTTTTGAGGAGACAGATAAGTCAGGATGTTTTTACAAAAGGGGTTTAGATGAGTGGAAATCAGTAAAGCAGTTGTGCAGAAATGGAAACAGGATTGTGTCATGCAAAGAAAGGAAACAGGCCACCAGGGTTGGGTAGCAGAGAAAGGTAGAAGATCCAGCGCAGGATATGCAAGTGAAGAGGAAGTTCCCGAAAATGATGGAGGATTACAGAGGAAGCAAGTGGGCCCCACAGGAAAGAAAGAGAAGAAAAAAAGAAAGTCATTAAACAGAGAGAGTAAAGAGTTAGCCAGAGCATGCAGCATTTAAGGACAGAAATGATGGTATCCTCCTTCTGATTATTATCCTTTCAAAAGTTTAAGGTCAGTTTTTATTATTATTTAATATTATTTTAAACAAAAAAACACTCTGAATTGTACTTGAATTGACAGCCCTAATAATTTTATCACTGTTTTGGAGGTATGACTACTGAGTTTACCAAACTGAAATTTTACTGATTTACAAAGGGGGGAAAAAAAGACAGGTTGCACACCTTTCCCTGCCCACCCTGTGGTTCCACAGGTCTCTGCATAGGTGGGGTCTGTGCAGCTCCTGATTGGCTGATTGATTCTGAACGGGACTGGATATTGGTGTCAGACACTGTAGTGCAGATTTTAGGAGAGCCCTGTCTGTTCAGTTTACTGCGCTCCTCAACCTGAGAAACCAAACGTAAGAGTTTATATTCTGACAGTTCAGTTCAGAGAGCTACTGTCCTCAGCAGGTTGCAAGTGTACCTCTCTAGCCCAGGCTGGTTTGTTGTTCTCTAGGTTCTTGCTGTAGTGGTACATCTGTGGTTTCTTGTCTTGTTGCTGCTGTTGCTGCTGCAGTGAGACGAGGTATGCATGCTCCTGCTGCAGCTGTCTCTGAAGTCTTTCTGACTGTCTCTGCTCCTCCAGCTGTTTACGCTTATACTCCTACACACATATGAACAAACAATGAATACCTTTTTTTACATAATTTATTTTAACGCTTTCATTGCAAAGTCATTAACATAGTTAAATAATTATTTACAAGGTACAAGGTCATATACTACTTGCATATACATATACATTTTAAGTTTACTTATTGCTTTATTTTAATTTGGGAGGGTCAATGAAACATTTAGCTCAACTTGGGCTTCTTAGCTAATTATTTACAAGGTACAAGGTCATATACTACTTGCATATACATAGACATTTTAAGTTTACTTATTGCTTTATTTTAATTTGGGAGGGTCAATGAAACATTTAGCTCAACTTGGGCTTCTTAGCTTTTTAACTTTAGTTAACTTTAATTTAATACTGTATTTCCCTTCAATGCATATTTTCTTAAAATAATTGAAGACTCCTGTTCCAAAACATTTAAAGGGATAGTTCACCCAAAAATGACAATTTTGTCATTAATTACTCGCCCCCATGTCGATCAAAACCCGTAACACCTTCGTTCATCTTCGGAACACAAATTAAGATATTTTTTGATGCATTCTGAGAGCTCTCTGACCCTCCCATAGACAGTAATGTAATTAATACGATCAACGTCCAGAAACGTAGCAAGGAAATCGGTAAAATAATCCATATGACATCAGGGGTTCGACCGTAATTTTACGAAGCTACAAGAATACTTTTTGCACGCAAAGAAAACAAAAATAACGACTTTATTCATTAATTTGGGAGGGTTAATGAAACATTTAGCTCAACTTGGGCTTCTTAGCTTTTTAACTTTAGTTAACTTTAATTTAATACTGTATTTCCCTTCAATGCATATTTTCTTAAAATAATTGAAGACTCCTGTTCCAAAACATTTAAAGGGATAGTTCACCCAAAAATGACAATTTTGTCATTAATTACTCGCCCCCATGTCGATCAAAACCCGTAACACCTTCGTTCATCTTCGGAACACAAATTAAGATATTTTTTGATGCATTCTGAGAGCTCTCTGACCCTCCCATAGACAGTAATGTAATTAATACGATCAACGTCCAGAAACGTAGCAAGGAAATCGGTAAAATAATCCATGTGACATCAGGGGTTCAACCGTAATTTTACGAAGCTACGAGATTACTTTTTGTACGCAAATAAAATAAAAATAACGACTTTATTCAACAATTCGTCTCCTCCGCGTCTCCCTAGCACCATTTTGGAGAGTATCCACTGAACGCAAACAGCATATTCTGTTCTGTGTCAGACGCACCACACGGATACATTGTTTTCATTCAAATCAAAGCGTAAATAAACGTAGAAAACGTATCAGTGGATACTCTCCAAAATGGCGCTAGAATGACAGAATTTTCATTTTTGGGTGAGCTATCCCTTTAAAAACAATCTGTTCCAAATTCCCTACTCTGATACCAGCAGTCGTTTGATAATTAAAACACTATTTAGGAGTCCCGTAACATGAGTCAAAACTGGCTGAGGACTGACAAGACCACAGCAAAGAAACAGAGGTAAGCTTGGTGAGGATAAGAGACTTTCAAATATAGTCAACATTTTTAAACTGTAGTACATGTTCAGTACCATATTAAATGTACTTTCATACTTGAATTTAATGCTTTCATTGCAAAGTCATTAACATTTAAATAGCTATTTACAAAGTACAAGATCATTTGTACGTTCCATTTAATGTTTACTTACAGCTTTATTTTAATTTGGGAGGGTCAATGAAACATTATGCTCAACTTGGGCTTCTTAACTTTAGCTAACTTCAACTTAATATTGTATTTTTCTTTGATGCATATTTTCATAAAAATTAGCTTGTGAGCAAACAATAACTGAAGACCCCTGCTCCAAAACATTCAAAAACAATCTGTTCCAAATTTCCCACTCTGCTACCAGGAGTCGCCTGATCATTAAAGCACTATCTAGGGGTCCTGTAACATGAGACGCATCAAAACTGGTTGAGGACTGACATGACCAGAGCAAAGAAACAGAGGGAAGAGAAAGAAAGAAAGGTGTGTGTTACCATTAGCAATGCCTGCTCCTGCAGTAATTGCTGCTGCAGTATCTCTAACTGCCGCTGCTCTTCCTCCAGCTTATGTCTTATAAACTCCTATAGAGTGAGAGAAATGGGGAGCAGTGGAGGAGGAGGAGGAAGAGACGGATCAGAATAGACTCAAAAGGATAGAATAAAAAGATATTTGAAAGAGTGGACAGATACACCTGTATGTGTGCAGCCTCTGAAGAAAGAGGCAGACATTTTAAAGAAGTGTTTCTGATGGGCTTTTTAAAATGGCTGAAGACACGGAGTGAAGAGATTTGTTCCACGTGCTTCATTCACCTACCGCGGTAGAGCCGTAACATCACACCGCTTTATAATCTTAAAATGGCGCACAGCGAGTGTTTACAAGTGGTTCCTGTCACTCCGAGGAATGTGTTGCGTATGCGGTTGTTTTTAAGCAGGACAACTGAAGGAAGTGTGATGTGAGGCATGTACATGTGAGGTCGTTTTGAAGAGTGTGTCCTGTGGCACACTGTGCACTAATTCATGCTGATTGGTCTTTTGTGTTTCTGTCAGTTTGAATTGTATTGAATGTAGGGCTGCACACAGCTCACCCACACACACACAGACACACACACACACACACACAAACACACACAAACACACAC